TTCCTTTTTGATATTATGTTGTTACAAAGTTCTTCGAGACGGACTTCTGTTTTATTTGTTTATTTACTTTGTAGATCTCACCGGGAATTTTGCGTTTAAGAGAAGGCAAAAACTAGCCAATCTCTATTGTCAGAAATTTCAATGATGGCGCATAATTGTTGTTGCTGTCAACAAAAGTAATTAGGAAAAAATAACTTTTAAAAAATTTTGTTCAATATGAAAAAAGATCGAATTAATTTTAAAGTATGCGTGAGGGTCTGTTTGGGGCAGCTACAACTTATTGAATAATCTGCGGGGAGGTGGCTATATCAAATTTTTATTTTTTTAGAAAAGCTTGACCGCTGCCAAAAAGCTGTCACCGCACCGTGCGGTGTGAAAACACTATTTTCAACTTTTTCAATATGCAGTTTACCCAAACATGTCAGATGCATTTTCAAAACTTCACCACACCAAATAAGCTATAAATCTCATTATTTATGGTCTGTTTGAAACAACCGTAGCTTATTGAATAATTTGTTGATAAGCTGATTAAAAATAATCTGCTATTAAAAATAATCTGCTGACTATTATAAATTTTAGGTGCGGTGGCTATTACTTATTTTTTTTTTTTTGAAAAAGTCAAACCGTTGCCAATAAGCTCCCACCCCATCTAGATAGGTGCGGTGCGGTGTGAAAACGTTGTTTTCTACGTTTTGAAAACGTAAGCTGCCAAAATACAGTTTACCTAAACAGTCACCGCACCAAATAAGTTATAAATCTCATTCACTATTTCATTTGTTACAATATGCGTCATTATCCATATTGTAAGGACTATCTCTGAAATTGAAAAAAAAGAAAAATTCAACATTGTACCTTGTATAAATTGGTCCTTGCCTTGAACATTTTGGTAGCTGAATTTATTTTGAACAGTAGCATATGTGTCTTCAGATTCTTCGAACCTTACTATATATTGGCCTAAAGTATTTGAATTAATGTTGTAAACTTAGACTTTGATGTGATGAGTTAATAAAATTGGCATGATTTTTAATACTCCTATTTTGAGATCATTTGAAATGTTGAAGTACATAGTGTTTAAAGATGGCATTACCATGTATCGGTTGGCTGTAGGAACTTGCCCGATTGAGAGAAAATTCAACTCTCCATTCATAATTGATGTGTGCTAGAAAATTCGCGGCGATAGGGTAATGAATTATCGTCTTAGCGTTGCATGAGGATTCAATAGACACTCAGATGAAAGGAAAACAACCTGTGATGACACTAAAAGTTTTTACGTGGAAAACCCGTAATGGGAAAAAATCACGGGGTCTGACCCAGTTATAAAAATCCACTATAAGTTGATGATTACAGATGACCAAAGAGTTGTTATATTTTCCAAGTTACAACATCGACTGACGGCATCTGGTCAGCGATGATAGGCAGTGGTCGACGAAGGTCGGCTTTGGTCGCTGATGGTCTGTGGTGGTCGACAACGATCAACGATGGCAGAAATGATGTTGGACTTGAGCTCCTTCTCCTCAAGTTCTCTCTCCAACCTTTCCCTCATGTGAGGGGTGGGACTCTATTTATAGTATTCTGAGTGCAATTAATGCAGAAATATGGACCATTTTGATCTGACGGTCTGGAGCGCTTCCCTTGATCAGATGACGTTTGATGGATATTTGAGTGCCTTAACGATGTCAGAATTTAGCAATCTTGGGCTTGTTGGATTCGACTTGTCGAGACGCTCTATTCGACTATGAACTCGCTAAATTCGACATCCGTTTGACATTTTAAATGTGTCTGGAAATCCTTCAAGAGTGGCTTAATGATTTGATCTAGGCTTGATCTGACTCGGATTGAACTAACTTTGATATCATTAGGTCCGTCTCATCGAGTCGGTCAGTTTGACTATAAGTTTGCTCAAATATTACCTCGAGATTCGTGTCGGATGATAAAAATTTATTGGTGGCGTATCAATAATGTTTTAGAAGATATTCAAAAGGGCTCTTATATAGTGAGCCTACTCAGGTTGACGTTCTTGGATAGCTGAACTACTGGTTGAGCTGTAAATTTGGCATGTAGTTAGTTAATCCCTTATAAAACCGTCACTATTTCCATCCAATTTCTTTAGTCTTTTTTTTCATTAGAGAACACATCTTTTGTTCAATTCATTGGTTGTATAATATGCATTTTAGTCAGCATGAGCTTCATTGTTTCCCCATGAACACGATGAGGAATGCATAGACCTGTTGTGCGATGGAAAAGTGCTGCTTAGACTTCAAGGAAAATTTTATAAGATGGTGTTGAGACCTGCAATGCTTTATAGTGCAGATCTTTGACCTATAATAGTTAAGCATAATAGTAAGAAAAGGATAGCTTAGACATAAGTCGTCCCGATTTTAAAATTACTATTATCATAATTTTAATTGTAATTTTAATAATTCTGTTCTTTTTTTTGTCAATCATGACACTCATTTTTAATAATTGTACATTGTTTACTGTTTTGTATCTGTTTATGCTTCTCAAGTATCAAATATATTGTTATGACAGTTCTTTTGCAAATAACATTATTTTAAAAAGGCAGAATGATTATTTATCCAGAAACAGCTGCAAATCAACTATTCTCAAACAACACAAACAAAACAATCGGTCAGCTTATCCTGATCAGCAACTTATTAAGATCAACTGCTTATCAACAGATTATTCAATAAGCTACAGCTGCCCCAAACAGACCTTTAGACAGGTTCAGTGACAAAATACAGCTTTCAACTGCAACTTTTTGAAAACTAACACAATGTAATTTTGTCAAATAGAAAAACTGTGGTGTAACGACGTACCGCAGTCCCAAATACATCCTCAATAATGAAATAAAGAGTCAAACTTATATAGCTCGCCTTATTTAATTTGGATTCAAGGTTTTTAAATTTTATAGTTATTTGAAATTGAAACTTTGATAAAATAAAATTAAATAAAAAAAAATAGCAAACCATAGACTAATTTTTTGTGTCATTTCAATTCCCTTATAGACCAAACTCTGATCGATTTGATGCTTATTTTAGTAGTTAGATGAACTACTGATGACTATTTTTATTTTAGGTACCTATATTAGTCTGATTTGTTAATGCAAAGCTTCCTTCATGTCTTTATTTTTTCCCATTATTCCGAATAAAATTAAATATATTTGTCAATATATTTGTCAAACAAGCTTACTAAATTGTCAATATTTCCTTTTATTTGACAACCCAACAAGATATAGAAGACAATTTTATTTCAAAAATATCAATTGCTAAAAGGCCATTTATGAGCACTGATACGCAACCAACAAATTTTCATCATTCGGTACGAATCTCGGTACACTTTTTTCAACAAGAAACATTCAAACTTCGATTAAGAATCATCCGGAACTTCGATTTCAACAAACTTATAGTCAAACTGATCAGCTCGATGAAACGAACCTAATGATATGAAAGTCAGTCTAATCCAAGTCAAATCAAGCCCGGATTAAGTCATTAAGCCACTATTGGAGGATTTTCAGAGGCATTTAAAAGGTCAAACGGATGTCGAATCTAGCGAGTTTGTAGTTGAATCGAGCGTCTCGACATAACGAATCCGAAGAGCCTAAGATTGCTCAAGTCCGACATTGCACTCAAATGTCCATCAAACTTTATCTGATCAAGGGAAGCTCTCCGGACCGTCCGATCAAAATGGACCGTCCGATCAAAATGGGTCCGATCAAAATGGTTCATATTTCTGCATTTATTGCACTCAAAACACTATAAATAGAGCCTCACCCCTCACATGAAACGGGAGGCTTAGGAGAGAACTTGAGGCTTTTAGAAGAAGCTGAAGTCCAAGATCATCCTTATCATCGTCGATCGTCGTCGACCACCACCAGTGGCCACCGTTGATCGCCGCCGATCACCCCTGACCTCCGTCGACCACCCCCAACAGTCATCAATTGTCGTTGACTACTGTCGATCACCGCCGACCTCCGTCAATCACTGCTAACTCGACGTCGTCAGGCGCCGTTG